GGATTATCTTAGCAACACTGGTAAGGAAATCGACGCGCTTAATTCCGTGTTGAATATAATATCTCCCACTTTTATATAACTGATAGAATTATTGACGTTTAAGTTTGGTTTAGATTACTCAATAAAATTTGATTTATTTGCCATTAATAAATTATCATTGTGGATGTTTAATTTATACATAGAGAAAACCGTAATGATTTTACACTTCGTGTTCTTGATGTGAAACCTGTGTAAATTCATTGGCGTGATTTATTTTGTGATGGTTTTCAAAAGGTATTTGGCATTTCAACCTAGACATATTATTATATATCACATTTCTAACAGTCCACGGTTATAGGGCATCATACTGATCCGCAGTGAATGTTCGCTAGGCCGCGACAATCACTGATAAGGATGACATCAATGCGACTTAATGAGCCACAAATATTAACGTTTTTTCCTCCGACAAATTAAATTCTAAAACATCTTTTTATGTATTAGAAAAATAAATAAAGACGTTTGAAGTATTTCTAGGTAAAAATTATTTCCTGTTTTAGTGTAAATGGGTATTAAAATGAGTAAAAGGCGCCATTCTGCTTGGATCAGTAACGTCTTATGTAAACAATGCACGCGCCATTGAGCCATTGATTGACGCCGCGTGATATGACGTCATGTTTTGAAGGCAGTCATATTTAACAGAGATATTAGAAGATTTTCGTAATACTCTGTGAAACAGATTGGTAGGGCATAAACTGGCGGAAGGGCATGTAGGTGCACAACAACGCCTTCTTCTTCGCAGACTTTTCATTGTAATTTATATAGAAATGGAGTGAATGCAATTGCTCTACTTTACTGCCAATTTCTCTGCCGATAGATAATTATGTAAGGAGCAAGAAAATAATCCACCGCAATCCGTCTTGGGCAATTTTTTTATGGATGATTTAGGTTTGCTATCAGACCTCAAAATGAACGATCATTGTAAAACAGCTTTATTTAACTCACCCACAACTTACCACACTCTAAATGTATTATCAAAGTGTAAGTAACCATGAACACACTCAACACCACCACACTCGTCTGATTTGGTAGGATGTATTGCTATTGAACCGATGTTGACGCGGATAGGTGATGGCACAGTTTTTGTTGACGTTGTGGTGTTGAGTTGCAGTATTTGGTTAAATGTTGAAAAGAATTGTTTGAGATTCCATTATGGAGGAGATCTTGGTCACAAATACTGCGGAAACGACTGGTGAGTGTTTTGATTGTGGCTTTCTTGGTCTGGTATGGTTGGCTGTGTTTCAAAGGGAGATACTGCTTGCTGTGGGCTGGTTTCCTATATACTGAAGTCTGGAGCGATTTGTTGTTTCTTCAGACAATGACATCGAGAATGGGAAGCCTGTTCTCTCCTACTGTTCCCATGGTGAACTTAATGTTTGTTGAGCTGGTCTAATAAGGAGTGGTGGTCGTGACCAAGTCGACAACATCGTAGGAAAGATCTTAAATTGATGTTATTACAAAAGTCTTTGGAGTCAAGTGAGAATAATAAATTATTGGGCTTTTTGTAGTAGATAGAGTCTCGGGAGCACACATGAAACCTGGCTTTGGTTGGATTCTGATGGTGACAGACGTGTTTCGGATGTTTGGTTTAATGAGCAGAAATGGGATCTTTCGTTACTCGTGTGTATTTTGTTTGGTCATGAAGAGTGTTGACAATGCTGATGTAGTCAGGTGTATCTATCCATCATTACAGCTACCGTCTCTTTGTCCGCGGGTACGGTGGAGATCGAATCAACTGATAACAGTTTAGGGCAATATATTCATTCTGAAATGTTTTAGCAAGTGCTGGGTTGTTGAGTTTTAATTGGTTGATATTATTGGCATGGTTGTATTTCACTATGATGTATAGTTTGGCATTGGTTTCAATCTGTTGCGAAGAATGTTATGTGGCGGCGAGCTGGTGACGCTGAACATTTTGCAACAAGTTTCGTGCGATAAATAAATGGGCTCATCTGGCTTAGCTTTTGGTGTGGGGAAATAGGAACGTCTGGATGGGACGGCAGGACGTTTACCTAATACTACCCAACATAATTTACTGATTTTTTCGATGGCCTAATAGCGGAAAAGCAATTGTGATGCACAAATATATTCTCAGCATGACGAAAAAAGTGATGAAAAGTTACAAAATTTTTCATAAAGGTGGATTTTAGAAGTCGAATAGGTACGAAAACCTGAACGCCTGTAACGTTTTTTCACAAAGCCGATTTTGGTGGATTTCTTTTCTTGGAATTGTATTCAGATACACCTTTCATAAAAAGCAAGAATCATTTGTTTCGGATTTTTTCCCCATCTCACGTAAATCCGAAATTCTCCTACTAGCCCACGAGAGAACTTAGTTTTCAAAAAGGCCGGTCTGCAGAAGATGGTGGTAGTAATGCGGGAACTTGGTGTGTTTCGGTATAGTCCAGGTCTTTCATAAAAAGCAAGAATCATTTGTTTCGGATTTTTTTCCCCAACTCACGTAAATTGGAAATTCTCCTACCCGCCTACGGATGAATCTAGTTTAACAAAGGCTGGTCTGCAGACGGTGGTGGTAGCAATGCGGGAACTTAGTGTGGTTCGGTATAGCCTAGGTCGTTTTCAGCGGTATTAAAAGTAGATATAATAATACTAGGGTGTGTTACGTTCAATAAAATCACGAAATAATTTAATCAATTTGACAACTAACTAAATCTAGCAAATACTTTTGAATATCACTGGTGAATGTTAAGTTCTTTGTCAAGTACTGAGGGCGAGGCCATTTAGGAATATTAATTTAGAATATGTTTCGTTTACTATCGTTGAGGGCCATGCGATAAATCTTCTCTGACTGTTCTAACAGCTATACCGCCGGATGTGGTTCATGCCTGGATGATTATAGACTGTATAGATTTATTTCCAGCCAATGACTTTGTGTAATCGGACAGTAATAACTTCCCTTGAGAGTGAATTCCCTTGAGAAGAGGATCACGCTTGGATCAATGTACGTTTTTAAAGGACAATGTTGGTGTCAGTCAATATTAAACAGAACTGGTTAAACACATTCCAAATATACTTTTGCTACGGTAGATGAGTGACGATGAACACAGACATTGACCCACCCGTGATCCTCTTTTATCACATATATATAATATTGGTGGACACCAACATTATCCTTTAAGTACAACTGTTTGTTCTTTTATTAATGAATATAATCAAGATAAACCACGTGTTGTGTTATATATTCACCAGATAAGAGATGAAAACATCACCCCTGATAATCGATTATCGTTTTTCTTGGTCGTTCTTTGTTGGTCTGTTTTGTCTTTGTTTATAAACTGTTACGGGGAAGTATAAAATTAATCCCCTTTGGAGCGTTTAATAATTTATTTGTTAATTCCCCGTGAAAGGACTCAGTAACAGATACTGAACATATTTGTTTTTTGTCGAAACGGTTCCCGTTCAGCTACTGCGGGTTCTGGTTCATTCCATTTCTTTAAATTGACACAGCGATGGACGTAAATAACAATGACCTTAACTCAAATGAAATTATCTTCTTTTATTGTTAAATTTCGAAATGAGTCTTTGATTGAGTACAATCATCTCAAGCATGCCAGTTAACGTTATTACTGTTGCTTGTCACTACACGATGCTGCACCACAGAGATCCATCTGCTTCATACTTCGAGAATAGATTCTCAAGCGAAGCTAAGTATAGTCTATGGAAGAATAATCTTGCCAATATTATTTCAATGTTCACGGTGCAAAATGCATATGTCAGCAGTTCAAAATACGTATTTTAGTTTTACCATTTGCAGTTTTCATTGCTCCACAATACCAATGCCACAGTGTTAAATTACAGAATACACTTTTCAATCATAGAGAATACGGTATAATAGTTATTCTGCACATTACACTTCTCCATTCTGCATTTTGGATAATAGACAAATGCATAATAGAACTTAGCATATTAGAACATATACCTTATATGGGATCTACGATGTAAGATTCAAGTCTGTAGATGGGTACAATAAACTATGTTTTTACCCCATGCAATGCTATAATACCACTTAAAAAAAATTATATAAAATCGATAAATTCATAGATCACTTTCATTCAAACCATTAGGAACCATCTTCTTTGATTGGCATTTAGTAATTGAACACAAAGTACAATTCTCATTTGCTTGATATCCTCGTTGAAAAGTCGCTTAGTATTAAACTCAGTAATTGTGTATCCATACAATTGTACTAACACCCGCACATATATGTATAAATATATATACATCTATATGTATAAAAAGAGTACGCAACCATCGACGGGATTGAAACATTAAAAATGGGCCCTAATTGGAATTTGACACACCTTTAGATGTGCACAACACCTGCAAGTAAAATTTCAAGTTTCCCCGTTTTATAAAATGAAAGTCGGTGACATGACATGACGAAAAGAAAAATAATGGAAATCCATTTAATTAAAAAATACATCCCTCGGCTTAATAGTCAATAAGTAACAATGGGCCATTAATTTAATTAAATTTCTTAATCTATCCCTAGATTACCTTCCACATAGTATTCTTAAATTATTGTACCAATATATAATAGATTAACTCTATTTCATGTTAATATTAGAGAGTCGTCCATATATTTTACACCGATTTTTAAAGATTCATGCTATCCCCCCTTTTATTAAGATATAGTATACTAAAATTTAATATAATGTAATCTTTACCAAATCGGCTAAACCCTTGGGGCCACTGTATTGACTTGGTACATTGTGCTACTATGTCTTTGAAAACAGAAATTGCTAGCAAATACATAACTATATTATTTATTATAGTCCATACACAGGCGTACAATAATATTATCGCTATACCATTTCTTTGCATTTGAATGAACAATGCATTTTCACAGAAAATCAATTTCTGCTTTGTTTCGAAAACAAGTAAGCAAAAGCTGAGGGAAAAGTTATTAGTTTAATCATTACTGGAGACAGAATATGGGCATGATGGGTCTATCAATGCTTATATGGGTTTTGCTGTATACCGTAGCAGCAGCAATAAACTGCCCAGAAAATGTTTTTCAAATGATAACAACACTTAATGATACCCTAATCAACAATGCTATTGGTATGCATACAGGATTGACAGTACATAGATGTGGAGAAAAATGTTTGGAGACTCCAACTTGCGCTTCGTTTTCATATCTTCTAAAAGATGCTTACGAATGTCATTTATTTGGACATCGTGCATGGTTTGGATGGAATAATCACACAGTTTATAACGAATTGGTGACGTATTGGCTTCTAGCAGGTAATGGGTTTCTTTTTCAACAGAATTTTTACTACACTTATGAAATGTCTACCTTCCGATTTTGTACTACAAGTATTAATTACATATGGCCAGAAGTCTTTTGATCTAAAATAGTTACAGAAAAAACGAAGAGACGTTTTGTAAATATATAAATATATTTTTGCGGCAACTTTGACATTTGTCATCGAAATAATTTGCGTAAAATCGCAAGGTCTGTCATTGATTCAAGTGTCTCGGTTTCGTTTCCCCGCTTCAATGTGACAAGGAGCTAAAGATCACCTTGATGGCTGGAATTCGAAATATAAGTAGGTGCTCATAGCAGACTTCATGGCGTATGTGCTTATCTTCATTAGCCCAGTAGGAGCAGAATAGTAGGACGTTAAACCCCATTTCATTTCATTTCGAACGCCAATAAAAATGTGATAATAATTGTCACCTTTATATTAGAAGATAACGTTTTAAGATACATTAATGCATAATATAAATAATTGACAAAAATACAATAGTTATCACTGTACAAACACTAAAATGTCGCACACTAGACTAAGTAAGCACGCAGAAAAGGGTACGGGCATCAAAGCAAGAGTACGAGAAGGCGAGAAATGTTCAAAGGCGAGGGAGCGAGCGAGAAGTCAAGGTAGAAATAATCTCGTGTTCTCGAGGCGATATCCTCGCATTCTCGCCCTGTTTCCTCGCGTTCTCGACTTCTCACTCCCTCGCTTTCTCGCCCTCGGCTTCTCTCGGCAAGAAGTCGAGATTATGAAATTTCCGCAATAGTCTTTCATACCAATGAGACATATAGCTTGAATTTCACAATTTTCTGCTTCGTGAACAGGCCCACAATGTGGCCTCCACAACATGAAGATCTGACCGGTTTTAGTGGGAGGTCACGTCAGGGGTCACACCAGAGACTTTTGACCCTATGACGTCAGTCATTCGATTAATTAATCAGCGTCGATGTTCCAAGTGACTATTCGGAAATACAACCCTTGCTTTGTTTTTTGTCGTTGCAAATATACACCCACAATTTCGCGAATATATACCCACAGAATTTGGTTCAACAGACCGTTTAATTGGCCAATCCCTCACCTACCCTGGTGTAGTGAAGACAAGTACATTTGGAACTATAAAAAAAACGAAACGAAATAGGATATTTGTTTAACCAGATTCTACTAAGAGCGACCAGCTTTTAAAAATTATCGTGTTTATATTTTTCAGAAATCTGTCCCTCAGATTACACCCATGATACAACTTATAACGTTTGTTATAAAGCCTTCTTCGGTACAGCTGATGAACGAAACTTCTGGGATGCGATGGCGCGATGTCAACAAGATGGAGGCTATTTGTATGTTGGCAATACAGCGGAAAAATTTCAGATCATACAAGGACTTGATTGTGAGTATTTAAAAGTTTCATTTTTGAACGTAAGCTTACCTCAACTGAATACAATTTCTGTTGATTACTAATCGACGTTAGGACCAGGCCTCTCCAGGATTAAACTTACTAGATACTTAATCCTGACGGCTGATATGTACATACTTGTGCATGTTATATGGGGTCATTGCTGGAGACTGCTAACAATATAATATGTAAAATATACATTTGTCAAAAGAGTCGCTCGAAAATTTGCTTTGCCGACCACCTGTAAAAACTGGTCGGCGAATGTCATCACAGCCGACCGAATTCGCGGGCCCTGGGTCAATTCGCGCTTCAGGTGTCGAAAGCCTGTTATATTACCTGTGTCTACAGTATATAAACCCTGAATAGTTTTACAGCAAAATATAATACAGGCTTTAAACAAAGTACGTATACATTATATTTTAAAATTAAAATTTATTAACATTTGTAAGACTCACAAAAATTCTTTCTGAGTTATTATCGTTGTCTTTGTGGATATTCAGGAGAAAATAAAGATTATCTGATTGACTGGAAAGTCATATCGGTTTTTATTTTCACAAGTCGCAGAAACCCTATTTGAATAATTATAAAGGAATTAATACCATTGATTAATAGGTGCTCAGGCAGCAGTAATAATTATAACCGGATTAACATGACATTCACACGCAATGAGAATGAACATAAAACATAGAAATGAAATGAAATGGGGTTTAACGTCCTACTGTTCTGCTCCTATACTGGGCTAATGAAGACGGGCATCCGCCATACAGTGTACAATGAGGGAAATTTTGCCCGGGCAGGGGCACTATCGCCTACTCTTATATCGAATTCGAACTGCCAAGGGATCTTTTACGTGCATTCCAATGTATACACCTAACCTCGGTTTTTCGTATCTTCCGAAGGACTAGACAGCTGTCCTTGTCAAGCCCTCCGTTCTGCACCGCTGATAAGGGGAAACCACGTCGGAAAATCCAGCTAAACTTTCTCGGCCAATGCAGGGATCGAACACCCGACCTCCAGGCTAGCGAGCCAGCGTCTTAACCACCTAGCCACCGTGGCTCCAAAAAAACATAGAATCCTATGGATTTGACACTTTTAAAATTGTAGTGTTCATACTAAAGTTGATCGTAGTGCCATTACTTCATGGATTGTTGTCCTATTCCGATGGGTTAGCAGATGTGGGCATTTATTTAATTGCTTGTCAACCTCTCTTTTATATACTTTTAAAACAGTCACAAATATCTAAATGGAAATCCGGATTTCCTGAAAAACCATATACAAATTGGTTGTGGTACATCGTTGTGTCTTCCACAGAACTGCCGCAGTTGTACTTACACTTACACTTTATACCCCATGTATGTGTTATCGTCGTCATCTGGTGTTGCTACATTATTCAGACTTGTTAGATGAAGTGAATTAAATATTTACACGACTGGGAACAGTTACCAAAAGTAGTATCTCTTAAGAGTTACTGAAAGACATAACATGTCATGTATATTGATTCAAAACTTATTCAAATCGAACAATCCTGACGTAAGTTATCACCATCTAGAGTTGTATTGCTTTCTGTTGACTTTATACCATTATCATTGCCTCTTCTTAAAGACTCCTTTGTATCCAGGAACAATAGAGATCAAACATCTGCATTACTTTATAAACAACTCGTCCGGGCGCTGATGCTTGTTAAATTTAGTTCGACAAAATGGTCATTGAGTTTTAAAGTGAATGTTTGTTTTAGCACTCAGAGATTTTAAGGTATTTGTCATTACATTAGATCAGTGTAAAGCAATGAATAAGTTAATGCTGTCAGGTATCGCAAAGATATTTTACAGTCTTCGGAAGTGCTACTTTATCAGAAGAAAATGGGCTTTGTCGGCCCAAAAAAGAACCAATTTGGAAAACTAAATTGCTTTTGTCTTTTTTTTACTTCAGCCTCATCGTATAATAAAGTATACATAGGAGGAACCAGGCTAGGGGTAAAATGGACTTGGTTGGATGGATCTGACATTAATACTAACCTGTGGCATCCTGGAGAACCTAGCAACGTGAATGAAGAATGTGCCGCTATCATTTATGGTTCTCAAAATGCAGCTTTAGACATCAGCTGTGTCCCAACAAGGAAATTTATCTGTGAAATACCAATACGTAAATAAACCCATCACCTGCCAATAAAGACACAGTTTGTTTTAAATTAAAATGATGGTTAAATTAATCAAAACTTTCAATTTAGTATGTTATATGTGTATATGTTCATACTATTGCAGCTACTATCCCAAATCGGGCGCCATTACAAAAATCCCCCCACCCCACCCCTGTCAATTTCTCAAATATCTGAATCAGAGAGAATTACACCACTGCAGTAATAACTTTAACATTCAGATTTGTTTACTGTGACAGAGAATAATAGATATAAAAATCGATATAAGACGAACAAAACATTTTCCGTCATAGCACACTGTATGGCGTATTAGCCCCTTAGCCCATTAGCCCAGTTCGGAGCAGAACAATAGGACGTTAAACCCCATTTCATTTACATGAGATGAAGGAAATATAATGTTAGCCCACACAATAAATTCTGTACGTTGTCCATTAATATTCTTCGTGTTCTTTGTGACATTAGGGGCACCTACGAGACAACCGCCCAACTGTGACCTGTATAGCTATAAATAAACCCAACGCCTTGTTTTTGGAAATAAAGACACACTTTAATTTAGTGGTGTTAGATTAAATTATTACACTTGTCAGTCGCTACGCTATTTATTTGCCCAAATAGGATACACATAGCATAATGCGGTACTTGTATTTTATTTACCAGTGTGGGATGTGTTTTTCGATACATTTCTGGTCACAAAGTGGTGTATAGTAAGTATGGTAAACTACCAAGAATCTCTTCACCAAGGCCACTAATTTTCTCGACAAACGAAGTAAGTGAGATCACCAAAAATATACTCTTCAAAAAGGTAGGGGATATTGAAATGCAAATACCTATGCAGGTTGCGATATGATAAATAGTCATGGACACTTGGCATGCTTTGGGAGTATGTTCACAGATGAAGAACTTATCGCCCCAACAGAACCACTGAGCTGCACATGCGACACGCAATGGCGCCATACACGTGGGAGGGGTTCATTGTCAAATTTGACACTTCAAGGAATGGTTGATGAAAACTGCCGCGTGCTGGTTTATCTATCCATGTTTGCTTTCCTATCGTTTCTTGCATAAGATTTACTGTTTAAGTTTGGTTCACACCAATGGCGCTTTGATGGCGCTTTAAAGCGGCGTGCAAAGCGTAACAAA